AAAAAGAAGAAAAAGAAAAAAGAAAAAATTGCTTACCTAGTAAATAAATGCTGAAAATCAAGTTCAAGACAAAATAAATTATATGGCAATAATCTAGCCAACAGTTATAGTTGAACTTCTCAAAAGATGCATTTATTAAGAAATTTTACTTTTCTTAAATTACTTGTTTTGGTCAAATAATTCATTTTTATTTTTTTTTTTATTTTTTTGGTAAATAACCTTAAAATGCATGGTAATTGTATACTAAGTAACTATGGTTGGGTGGTAATGTAATATTGCATTAATTTATGATATTTTTCAAATGTGACATTATGTAGTTCATATATATAATAATTCCTCAACAAATTATCATAATTGTTTAAGCTACATATTTTTCTTTTATAACATTAATATAAAATATTTGTCAGTTCATATATAAAATACACAAAAATCTATAAGAAGGCTTTCTTATCTTTTATGTATTTTATTTCTTTCAAATAATGAAATTATTTAAAATTACATTTTCATTGCATAATATGGTAAATAAAATATTAAACCGTATGATGCAAATCAGAAAAATCTCATGATTATAGAAGGAATTTATTTCTTTACAATTGAGGTATTTAATTATTATGGAAATTTTAAATTTCGATGCATAAAGGGTGAAAATATTTAGACGAAAAATTGATTGAACTATTTGGTAAACAAATTTAAATAAGCCCACAATGTGTCACCTTTCTCAATGTGAAATAATTTTTTTTCTCTTTTTTCTTCTTTTTAATAAATTATCTCTTATTGATGAGATGTTTTTTATACATGTATTTTTGTTTTTCTAATTACAATGACAATATGATAAATTTCAAAAATTGAATAGAATCACACGTGTGCGTATATATAGAAAAACATGTGGTAAACAATATTTTATTTTAAATTTGTTTATATAAATCTAAATTAATTACATTACGCCCCCATGACGCCTCATTAATTTACATTAAATATTTATCATTACATAAACAAAAAATACTACTTTTAAACCTTAAAAATAATAAGAATAACATTATATGACAATAAATTGTAGAATAAATAATAATAGAGTATTATATGGTGAACAAAAATAAGTAAAACTATTATTTTTATCTATTTCACTAAATATATATATATATATTAAGATCATATTTATAGTAATATAAACGGGTTAACGGGCTAATGTGTTTTGATTAACTTTTAGGTGAGTCTGTTACGACACAGGCTTTCCGGTAAAAAGAATAAATAAAATAAAATAAAGCTAATGAAAGCAAGTGGAAAAATAGATGATCCAACCCTAAAAATTTTTAGGGTTGTTACAGGCCCAATGATATTTGGCCATTTATCATCTCTGCCACGCATGCATATACGGTTTTTCCTTTTTGTATTACATGAACTCCAGGAACCTCTTAACATCTTGACATAGTCAATCTAGCAGGTTGAATTTAAATAGTTTGAACATAACATAGCCACTGATGACTCGAGACTAAATCTCTCTGTCATCCATCCATATTACGTGATTAATGATCACAAAGGACTAATAGCAGCTAAACACAGTTATATAATAAATCTAACAGATGGTTAGGGTCTACAAGTAATAAATAATTTAAAACATCTTGAAATTTTGAAGTTTAACAGATAAAAGGATTGCAAATACTTACCCATCTGCAGGAACACTTGTGATATTCAACTTCATGGGATAAAGGGGATGTGCAACTGTCAACCAAAATCTGCATAATGATACCACATTACAAGGCCAAGATTTTATCCAGCACATAAGAAAACAATAGTACTTAGGACACATAAGATACTGACATTATCTTTGGTCTTATATTGAGGAACAAAAGCCTTCGGAACAATTCACGGACAAGACAAACCAAAATATAAGTATTTTTCCTTAGTTTCTTCGTAGATCATAAAATTATAGCATCCAAAACAAATGGAAGTCTTTTGCTAAGAGTTTAGATGCCTGTGAAAAGGATAACTAATTTAATGAGAGCTGCATCAGGGGCTTAAAGATGTATGATGATAAGGATTTAAGTAGTGAAGCACGACAAGAGAAGTAGTACAAAACCAGAGATCTAAATCGAGTGAATTGACTAAGCTTATGCTATGATTTCGTGTGCATCCAATATGAATCACGAAAATGAAAGATAATATAGCAGGCAACCATAGCATTTGTAGATACGCCTCGGCAAACAACGACTTTTCAAGAACTAAGCCATGAAAATTTCTCAAAAAGAAAAACTTTCAACAGTAAGCACGACTGTGGAAAACATTAGAAATTTAGGCGTTAATGCTTAGGTTGTATCTGATTGTACCTATATGGTTAAAAAAATCTTTACGACCATTTTCCAATAAATAACAGACATTATAGTAGATAAAACTTTTATGATTAGTCAAATTAGAGACCACAATATCTACTTGCCTAACAACATTCGAGTGATGACAATGCTTGATGGATGATACTCTTAGTTTGGACGCCCCCAACCGAAATCCCGCAAAACACCACGAAAATTAATCTACATCTTTTCCTTTGATCAAGTATAAAACTCTAAGAAACACTTGTGAGCAAGAATGACACATCAAAACGCATTTTCGAGCCTCCTTAAACAACTCCGAATGAAAGAAAAACAGTCTCAACCCTTAAATAGAATGGAGGGAAAAAGTGAGGGAATGATGAAAAAATTCTCTTGCAACAACAGACGCTGTCTAACTACACTGAAAATATATATTTTTTTATAAACGTAATCATAGTGTGTATACATATGTAATAAAAAAAAATCTATGAATAAAACTACTATACTGCCACGTGTTGAGTATTGCTGTCATATTTTAATGACTGAACTCACGGCTAATCCATAACCATTTAAAGTAACATGATGCAACTTTATCTCACAGCAATTACATTAAAAAAGAGGACGAAGTTGTAATTCAGTTTTGGCGTTGAATGATAAGATGACACAACTTAAATAGGAATATCGCCACTTACGGGTCAGCACGACTCAGTCTGCAAATTTCACAGAAAAAAATTTCTGGTGGGTTTGGTAAGACACCCTCCATGGTTTTTTCATGAATCAGCACACATGCCATATGCTGCCAAATATTACACCGAGGATCTTCACACTGCAACAAATGGAAATAGTTAAAAACATATAAAGCCTCGTCAAGTCAAAAAAAGCAAGTCCAGATGCAAAGGATATGTCTAAGTTGAAGCTCATACAAAAGAAAGTAAGTACCACCTTGATCATTGAATCAGTTGCCAGAGTGCTTCCACAGACACATCGGATCTTTTCCACCGGACAAGAATCTTCAGCTTCCTCTTTATGTTTTGCACTTGTACTATCAGAAATGGCTTGTGATTTTGAAGCCAAGTCCGCTGCCCCAGAAAACTGCATTTTTCTGAAATACCAACAAAAAGACATATAAGATAATCAAACGAGAAAAATGAGCATACCTCCAACCTCCTTTTCATATACCCCATTTTTGCTCTGTCACACAATTCTCAAGTTTTAATTTCCACACATTTCCTCCACTTTTCTCTCTGACCTTGTTTGCTAGTTGTTGTCAAAGGTAGAAAGTTAATATATATTGTGATTTCCTCATATTGGATTCTTAATGTGGGAAACTGTTAATTAAATATAGATATCATGAACAAGAGAGAGTAAAGAATCCAAGTATATATTTCTGTAATTCCACAATAATTCCATGCAGAAAATAGGAAATAACACCTGTAGGTGTCATCAACTAGCTTTGCCACTTCCTCCTTTCCAATAGCATTCTTCTTAGCCCACGTCCCCAAAACTGTTAAATAAAATAGTTGAGAATTTAGGGATAGAACACTATCCACCATTAAAAGGCACACACATATATGAATGAAAGAGTGACTTCAGCAAATTAACAATCGATCCTACACAATATTATCCTTCACAGGCAGAAGTTAAAAAGATTTTTGGTCAGGCAAGCAACGAAGTTTTGACATTGTCAAGAACTTCATTTCATGTTTACCCACACCATCTTAGCTCCTGTTTGCTCAAGATCCAATTTGCAGAGTCATGAAATAGATTATACATCTGTTATTCGGCTAGTTAAGTCGAAGGGATTTCAACGTAAAATTTGGTTAGAGTGCAAAGTAAAATATCATAAAGAGGGATGAGATGACATACTGATTTATCATAATAGATGTCAAAATTGGAGTGCAGGGAGGCACTAGTCAGACATGTTGCTATTTGGTGGTTATAATGTTCAGAAAATATATGAATATTTCCTCCAAAAGAAAAATTGAAGGAACTTGTTGGTGTATATTATGTAGATACAGAATAATCCTTTTAGGAAATAATATATTTTATCCACAATTAAGGGATTTAATTAGGATCATTATTCTCCTAGTTGTGTGTATAAATAAGGCTCTTGCACTCCTTGGAACATATGAAATATACAGATCTTCAGCAGATAACAAGGTATCAAGAGCCAGAAATTTATTTGTAGTCTAGGGTTTCATTTTATATTTTTCAAGAAACAACCCCACTGCCGGTTTACCTAGGGTTCCATTTCATGGATTTTTCGAGTCTCACCTCCCGCCTACCTCGCCTTGCCAGCCAGAGATTGATCTTCCGGCGAAGTTTCAGCCTCCCTTCCACGCGAGTGGCCTACACGCGCCGCCTTTGCTTCTGCCGCGGTTCTCACGCACCGGGTGTTGCCAGAATTTATTTCCAGCCAACGTCTGGTCGCTTTTGAAACTTTGTGGGCTGTTTGCTGCTCTTCTCAGTTTCTTGTTTCAGCTGGACAGTTCAGTTTTTTGGTATTGGCTTTTGTTTCATTCATTTTGATATTTTGTTTTGGTATTTCTGTATTTGCTTTGCTTTGGTGTTTGTTGTCGTACATCTCACGTCATTTTTTGGCTGATATTGGCGGAGACTAAAGTTGCTTCTAAAATTGTTCCTATTTTGAACAAAATTACTGATGTTAAGCATAATGTCTCCAATTTTCTTGGTTGGAGTAAAACTGTTAGTCCATTTGCAAAGCATGGATAAGGACGACCATCTTGATTTGGATCCTCCCACGGACGATACCAAACGGGCCTGGCGCTGGCTCCTGGATGACACAAAGCTATTGGTCCAGATTAGAAATTCTGTTGAGCCGGAAATCCTCTCATTAATCAATCATTGTGAATTGGTCAAAGGAATTAATATCTTACTTTACTTTCTTGTACTGTGGTCGCAGTAACATCTCCCGCATTTACTGTTTTGTAAGTCCTACCAGACGGGAGAACAACAGGATAAAACTCCGAAGGCATAGGTTATGGAGTTCAGCAGAGTTTATAAAGAACTCAATTCACTCCTTCTCTTGAGCGCAGATGTCAAAGAGATGCAACGTCAACGGGAACATATTGTTCTCATTAGTTTTTTGACCGGTCCTGAATTCGATACATCAAGAATCAACTTATATCTGAATCTATCACACCTTCTTTACAAGAAACATTTGCACGCTTTCTTTGAACGGAGAGTATTCATGCACCACTGAGAGCTACTCCTGCCAGTTCTCTTGTGAGTCGTGGAAGTAACTTTCGTGGGGGTCCTCAAGGTGGCAGCTCTCGAGGAGGGGGTACTGCCATTCGCAATAATCGGAATTCGGACGGTGTCAGTATAGAATTCTTTTATTGTCATGATTTCATGGACTTACTAAGCACACTCGTCCAAAGCTAATCTAGAAAAATCAGATAGGCCATTTTGGTCATGCTAATTAGTCTTCTGAGACGGTTACTATATCAGAGGAATATGTCCGACTTACCTGTGAACCCATTAACACCTGAGACGGTTACTGTATCAGAGGAATATGCCCGACATACCAGTGAACCCAGTAACACGTGCTGATATTGATAAGTATGCTACGTTTCTTCTCTAAGGGCACAAAATAGATAATTGACTCTGGTGAGTCCGATCACATGAGAGGTAACCAAAACCTCTTTTCCACCTTTCAAAATCGTACACCCTCCACTCATGTCACTATAGCTGATATGTCACTCCACAAGTCCTTGGCTTTGGATCTATTCGCATAAACCAAAACATTTCTTTGTATTAAGTCTTCCCAATTTCTTATTTAACTTTATTTATGTCAGCAAACTTACAAAATCATTGAACTGTAGCATCTCACATTTTCTAAGGATCTTTCGACAAAGCAGATCTTTGGTAGAGGTCATTAATCTGATGGGCTCTATGCACTTGAGACTTTGGGGGCACATTCTCTGGTTAGCTCTACCTCCTCAACATTAGAAATGTATTGCCAGTTAGGCCATTCTTCTCTTTGAGAATCTTACGAAGATGTGTCCACAATTATCCACTCTATCCTCCTTATCTTATGATTCATGTCAGCTTACTGAACACTAATGTGTTCATATAGGTCTAGGATTCATAAAAGCGTAGTGTCCCCATTTTAGTTAGTTCATTCTGTTATGTGGGTCCTTATCTAGTTGTGTCTAAAACTGGTTTCAAATATTTTGCTACTTTTATTGATGATTACTCTCGTGTTACTTGGCTTTATGTCATGAAAAATCGCTCCAACGTTTTTCAACATTTTTCTTCGTTTCATTTTGTGCTGAGATTAAGAATCAAATTAAACTTCTGTTAGCATGTCAGCATTCTGCGAAGTAATAATGCAAAAGAATAATTTTCCGCAGATGTTTAGTCTTTTATGTTTCATCATGGTATTTTGCAAGAGTCTTCTTTCCTGTGTTGGTACATCAACCCAAAATGGGGTGTCCGAATGCAAAAATCGGCACTCCTTGAGGTTGCTCGAGCTTTGCTGTTACAATTGAATTCCTCCAAGCATTTCTGGGGGTCCAGTGCATGTTTTTTATTAATCGTATGCCTTTCGTTGTGCTTCATGGTGAAACTCCTTTCTCAAGTCTTGTTCCTCAAAAATCCCTTTCTCTTGTGACGCCTTGTGTCTTTGGAAGTACATGTTTTGTTCGGGATATACGACCCCACGTTAGTAAGCTAGATCCCACGTCTCTAAAATGTATCTTTATTGGGTATTCACATGTATTGAAGGGGCATCAATGCTTCTCTCCTGCTCTGAACCGGTATATTGTATCCACAAATATTACTTCAGCAAAATTTTCCCGACCACTACTTCTACGCCATAGCCAGATGATGACACTTTGTTCTATCATTCCCCAATATTCGTCTCCTCCAGAGTTGTCTTCTCCTCCTTCACCTACACGGCTACACCTCCTACACAATTTTCACAACCCAACAACCCCTCACCCTGAATACTCCTCACCCTCAAAGTATTCAGGTCTACACAAGAAGGTCGCACCCTACTCAAGAACGCAGGCCAACAGATTCATCTCCTCCACCAGTTGTTACGTCGGATGATCCACCATCTCCTAATGTTCTTGTGGAGGATCCTTCCTCAAATGATCTTCCTATAGCTTCGAAAAGGTAAGCATACCTACACCTATCCCATTGGTTCTTACGCTTCTTAAGATAACTATAGGTTATCTGCTTCTTCTTCTAACTTTATTGCCAAAATTGACTCTATTTCTGTCCCTAACTGTTCATTGGTTTTGGCACATTCTGGTTGGCAGAAATGAATACACTTGATCACAAGGGCACTTAAAACTAGAAGACTTACCTATTGACAAATCTGCCATAGAGTGTAAATGGGTGTTCTCAGTCAAGGTAAATACGGATGGTTCTTTGGCTCGATTAGAGGCACGTCTTGTTGCGAAAGGCTATGCTCAGACTTTACTCTGAGACAATTTCCCTTATCATGAAGCTGACCACTCTGATTATTAATATCCGCAACCTCGTCTCATTGTCCACTTCACCAGCTCGATATAAAATTGCTTTCCTTTGTGGTTTTCTTACTGAGGAAGTTGAAATGGAGCAACTGCCTGGATTTGTTGCTCATGGGGAGCGTGGGAAGGTTTGTAGTCTTCGAAAAGCTTTATATGGTTTGAAGCAGAGTCCTCGAGCGTGGTTTGACATATTCAAATACTAACCAAATAATAGAATACTAAAAGAATTATTCTATATCTCCCCAATACACACACACACACCCCCACGTCGGAGCATATACATTGATTATGCCCAGCTTGTTACAAATGCTATCAATCCGTACTCCTCCATTTACGACATTCGAAAATATGTCTCCTAGTTGGTCTTTTGATTTGTGACATGCTCTGTAATGATGTATTTATGAACCGTTCTTCGATCTTGTCACGCATAAAATGATAATCAACTTCGATGCATTTAGTCCGTTCGCAAACACGGGGTTGGTTGCAATATGAAGAGATCACATCAAAGCTTTGATGCATTTAGTCCGTACGTGAAACATGGGTTGGTTGCAAATTAAAGAGATCACACCAAAGTTTTGCTGGGAGAGAGGTTCAAAGCCAATTTATTTCATCAATTGATGCATCCATAAAACATCACAAATTGCATCTGCCATTGACCAATATTCGGCTTCAGCAACCGAGCTAGAAACTACACTTTGCTTCGTACTTCGTCAAGAAACTAAATTTCCCCTAACAAAAAATGCAAAGTTGATCTTCTATCATCTTGGTAACCCAACCCCGCATAACTGAAGCATTCTACTCCAGAGTGACCATGAGAGCTGTAATATAATCCACGTCCTGGAGCACACCCTTTAGATAAATTTGCTCTCGAAGAGCCCAGTGATTTACGGTGGGTGATGACATAAAGCGACTCACGACACTCACCGCTAGGGCGTGTACTGTGAGATAGTTGATTTTTTCCCAATGAGTTTCCCATATCTCTCAGTTCTCCTACCCCAGCCCAATTCTGGATACGTGTTAGGTGTTATTGGAAGTATTGCAGGGTTTCACACCAACTTCCCTGATCACATTATTTTCTTTGAGTCAGAAGAACTCCTTTCCTGTTACTGCAGAGTTTCACACCAACTTCCCTGATCACATTATTTTCTTTAAGTCAGAAGAATTCCTTTCCGGTTCCGCATGACTTCTACATCAAGAAAATATTTCAAATGCCCAAAATCTTTGGTTTGGAAATGGGCTTAAAGAAAAGCTTTCGACACCGAAATTCCCATATTGTCATTACCAGTAATCACAATAACATATAAATAATTAGTAGGATGACCTAATTCTTGGATTATCCATAGAATAATGAATGACCTGACCTACTTACATCTAATCATTCCAAACGTCAAGATCATTTAATTTTCGTAAATTACTCTTTCCAACTCTGTAGATGTTGGTTGTAGAAGGAAACAGAAGAATAAACAATACAAATCCTTTTTAGAACAAAATCTTCACATTTTTGCTACCTAAATAACAAAAAGATATATTCAACTTACCTCGCTCGTCAGAGAGAACAGCCAATATCCGATCAACAAGATCCTGCACCATGATAACCAGGGCAAATCATTAAAATACTTGTTTGTATAATCATGCCGAATAACTTATAAGTAAACAAACCTTACTAATATTTAGTCAGTTAAGTCGGTTGATAAACACAATTTACATTCAGAAGCAAAATTTTGAAACAAAAAAATGAACTCTAGCCTTTCTGGCAATACTGATGATTGTGACGCACTAGATACGTTGCCACAAAAAGTATCTTAAGTCAACAAAAACTAAGAAATCAATCCAACTCCACATATTTTCTGTCAATTATGAGGACTTTGACACAATGGATAAGTTGCCATAAGAAATAAATGAAGGCAAAGCAGATTACAAAAGGATTCTTCATACAATCAAACAAAGAAGTATTTAAAATCAGCAATATTGTTCACAAATAACCTGTTTCTTTCCCTGCTTTGAAAGACCTAGCTGTGTGAGGACATCTTTGAGCTCCTTTATTCGGAAGTACGCCAATTTGTCCTGCAAACAAAACAAAATTGCAGAGAAGTTCACAAAGATCAAAAGTTAGGAAAATAATTTTTCTAGAGGCAATATCTGTCATTGTAGGACAAAGCTTTAGGCGCATATAAACACTAATCACAACATCAATGATAATGATGAGAATGAAAATTTGAAACCCCAGAACAAAGCAGAAGAAAATATCAATTTTTAGACCCTATACACCTGATTCAACAGATTTCCCCATGATGCACCATTGAAATTTCACTGTAACTATAAGCAACTGACCATTTCTATATCTAAAATTGAAAGGAAAAGAAACCTAGTTATGTAGCCATATCAAATAACAGGCAAGAACAGGTTGAAACTCCAAAGACAGAGTTAGAGCTAATACTAAAGGTGCAGAAGCAGCCCCAATGGTGTTCGTATATTTTATTTGAAGTTTTTACTGAATCTCGGTCTGAAGACAACAGTCAATGAGGCAATGACAATGATGTGGCAAAGGAAAAGAACACTTGAACAAGAGTCTGTATAACACAAAACTAAGATCAAGAAA